GGTGATTTACATGGTAAAACACATGAAAGAAGGTTTCAATTGTCAAATTTGGCTCAAAATGAATGCAAAAATGGTCAAAAAATGGGTGTAGAAGTCAAATTTTAGGCTATTACTGTGCTGTTAAGTCCAGAGGAACTTGGTTTTTCCATGTATTGCTTTTTTTTATATCCATGAAAGAGAGTAACAAATATATATAAATGAATTTTGGCATTTTATTGACATTTAGGCTTGTATTTAAGACTATATTAGCAAATATTTGGAGTAGAAAAGTATAGCAGGGGCAGTTTTAAGATACCTAGTTACATCCAAAATGTTGCTATGTGTGTACAAATAATGTGTAATCCATAATCAGGTCACTATACAGTAGTTATTAAGTATGTTTGCTAAGCTAAATCTTCATTCAGGAAGTCTGTTGGTAATAAAATGTTGAAATTTGGGTGAAAAATCACTTATTTTGTTATGGGTGGGGTGATAAAATTGCTCCCTGCTACATCCTTTTGCTACAAAATTAGTACTTTGAAGTACTTCTGTAATGAGAACAGTGTAGCTTTGCTATCTGAGTGATTTTATAGAAGTTGTTACAAAATTGGCTTCAGAATATTGAATTATGTATGAAAATCACATGCTAACATTCATTTTCAGAATATCCGGAATGCGGCACAATGGCGCTTGTTAGAAAAATGGGATATTCAAAGTTTGAAATGACTTAAGAGTGATGAAAATGTATCCATATAATTGGTAATTGTATTTGCAACTTCATTTATTATTAGATATTAGAATATTAAACATATAATATTCCCTTTAGGTCAGGGTATCGTATTGTAACATGGCCAGCGATTGGCTGAAAAAAAGTGCAGGGAAAACCGTATGAATCACTTTATACATGAGGTGATTGGATGAGAATGAGGTATTTTTAAGTGTAAAAACTAAATTAAAAAGTAACACTATACTGTTTTCTGAAGAAAATGAAATATTTCATGAGTCTCTATGATAATTTTGACTTGGATATTTGCATTTATTAAAAGTGTATGTCAGTCCTGTGATCAGCAGAAAATTTCAATGAAATGGGGGTAATCCTCTTTGAAGTCATTTTGCAAAAAATTTGGTTGGCTACCACTATATAACAGGACAATTTTTATGTGTCTGGCATTTCATTCTGCTAGAAAAATCACCTCTTTAGCATGAAAACTCAATTTTAAGGTAAAATTAGGGACCATTTCTTATAATGTAAGTCTATGGAAATATCAATGTGAGTGTCTGATCTAAAAGGCGATAACGGAACAAATCTCAACTTTTCGGATAAATAATAAACGTCGAGTGTTCCGAGTGAAAACGGAAGCGGTGCATGTAATACCGAATGACACCTTTAAAACGGAAAGAATAAAAGGAATTTCTTAACGACTTCCCCGTTCATAGGCTTTGCCTAATTTCATATTATAACGGAATGTAACGTAACGCAACGTAACATAAGACAAAAACATAACATTTACATACTTTTCAAATCACATGCAATTTATAGTCAATCTTGTAATACAAATAAACAAATATTTTGCTGAGAAGGTTCGAATATTTTATTTGTTTTCATAGTTTTAACAAAGCGTACTTGTACGTAATCCAATAAACAGTATATTTACAAATTTAACAAAAATATAAAGCTTACTAACTTAAATATATATTACTTACTGACAAATATATAGCATTATAAATTCGTTTATATCAATATTGTAAAATTTGATAGAAAACAGTTTCAACGACATAAACATCAAGATAGCATAACCAGTGTACGCACTAAGCACATTTGTTATAGGGGTTATCTCCCATTTACCATCACAAAAAGTTTAGGATAGCGGAAAGTGCAGACGATGATCGTCATATACAAATGACATGCCAATTTATTAATTGTTATAGTATTTGTTATAGCCAAAATTATTTCAATAACATCATTGTTTTGATATTTTACTTAAATTCGTCTTTTAAATGGTCGTCTTGAATCATTTTATGTGTTAGTAATAGAGGATATTGAATGAGTGTAAGTTCAATACTGAATTTATTGCACGATTTGAATAAAATTATATAATGCGAGCCTCTAGCGAGCATAATATTATTTGATTCAACGAGTGCAATAAATTCAGTATTGAACTTACACGAATTTAATATTCTATTTATCGCATACCTAAAATAAAGACCGTTTCAAGTGAAATAAGAGTCACTTTTCATTGACGCGCCTATAGTATAACGCTAACATTTAGCGCGTCTTTACACTGTGTTTGTATAACGTTAATGACGTCACGTCAAAATATATGCACGGCCGTGCAATACCATATTTACGGAGTCGCAAAACCGGCACGGGTGTGTGATAAAAGAATATACATGATTTATATGGTTCGATACGCTTCATAAAAATAGATAAATAATAACATACAAATAAGGGACGTTCACTCTGAAACTCATATTTGTTAAATAGAGAGAAATAAAATCGCAAAAGAACGTGCAAAACGGAAAATAAAAATGTTATAGGCTTGCTTTGATTGAGCCTGTTCGTTATCAGTGGACTGTAGTGTACTGGAAAATGCAAGCTACCGTCCACGCCCGAGCAGAAAATTCAACATTTTAACATGAAATCATAAAGCCCTACGCAAATTGCGCATGCGCGATCCTGTCGACTTTTTTTTTTCAAAATTGGTCTGTGCTGTAATATTCATTTAATCAGTTTAAAATAAATATTGAAAATAATGGTTTCGTTATATGGTAGGAGATTTCATGATGAGATATAAAGTTGTAACTTTTATCAAATTGCCATTACACCATACTTGACGCCGAATACCGACCGTTCTACGTTAATGCTTAAAATACCGGCAGTTTAAGTGCCAGGTCAATGGCCAAAACTATTTTGATTAAAGTTCTTTTTACTCTCTGAAAAAAGCAAAAGAAAAAAAAAAGAAATCCATGTTTGGATATTCTTATAAAAATGTTGTTTGAAACAAAAATGTTCAAAATGACATGAAATGAACATTACTATGATGAATAATATAATTTTTATTTTAGAACATTTTATTTTCTGCTATAAACATGTGGATATAGCTTCCATATATATATAGTTATTTCGTGTTTTGTTGTTATGTCTATTTTTTAAATGACTTCTAATCACTACCAACCTAGTTACGCATTGTTTTTTTTTTTCACTTTAATGAAAAAAATCAAAAAATCTACAAAACAACAATTTTTCATCAAATTTATATGACAGGCCATGTTTAAACATGAAAAAACGCGATTTAGGGTAATTTCAAGTATTTTCATCATTTTCTGTTAACCCATTACTTCATATACACGCCTTTTAACGCCTTTTTCACCCCCCCCCCCTTTTTGTTGTCTCCAATGATGAAAAAATGCCTTATTTAGGCCCCAAACACTTGTTTTTGTTTGAGAAATGTTGTTAAAAAAAGTGACCTCTTTTTCGGCGCGGCCCCCAAACCAAAAGATACATCAGGGGGTTGCCAGAAGGGGGATGTGCCCCCTTCTGTTTGGGGGGTTTATAAAACCAAGAAAATTTTGGACGTGTGAGAGGCTGTAAATGACCCCAGATTGATCATAAGGTAACGTGTAACCAACGCTGAAAAGCATTTGACTCTATCTCAATCCATTGAGAAGTTGCAGCACTTTGAAATCAGTTTTGATGGAAAAAATCAACGCAAAATAGTGATTTTTGGCAATTTTGAGATGTCCCCTCGTTGCCATGGTAACAGAAAATTTAAGCCTGAGCATGTTGTTGCAAGGGCAATGGTCCAGTCAACATTTGTGCCAAGTTTGATTAGTGTTGAAGCAGTTTTTATAGTATTATAGCAATTTGAACTTGTAACGGGAGACTTTTCAATGAAAACAGCCATTTTTCACAAAATGCTCATGAAGTAATGGGTTAATGAAAAAAATAAAAAAATCTACAAAACAACAATTTTTCATCAAAATTTATATGACAGACCATTGTTTAAACATGAAAAAACGCGATTTAGGGTAATTTCAAGTATTTTCATCATTTTCTGTTAACACATTACTTCATATACACGCCTTTTAACGCCTTTTTCACCCCCCCCTTTTTGTTGTCTCAAATGATGAAAAAATGCCTTATTTAGGCCCCAAACACTTGTTTTTGTTTGAGAAATGTTGTTAAAAAAAGTGACCTCTTTTTCGGCGCGGCCCCCAACCAAAAGATACATCAGGGAGTTGCCAGAATGGGGATGTGCCCCCTTCTGTTTGGGGGGTTTGAAGGGGGGCGGAGTCCCCCTCATCGCCAAGAAAATTTTGGACTTGTGAGAGGCTGTAAATGACCCCAGATTGATCATAAGGTAACGTGTAACCAACGCTGAAAAGCATTTGACTCTATCTCAATCCATTGAGAAGTTGCAGCACTTTGAAATCAGTTTTGATGGAAAAAATCAACGCAAAATAGTGATTTTTGGCAATTTTGAGATGTCCCCTCGTTGCCATGGTAACAGAAAATTTAAGCCTGAGCATGTTGTTGCAAGGGTAATGGTCCAGTCAACATTTGTGCCAAGTTTTATTAGTGTTGAAGCAGTTTTTATAGTATTATAGCAATTTGAACTTGTAACGGGAGACTTTTCAATGAAAACAGCCATTTTTCACAAAATGCTCATGAAGTAATGGGTTAAATATGTACCTTTCTGCTTATTTACATTAATACCAGCGTCTAATACGTGTGTTAGAGTGAAGGGGGGGGGGGTCTCAGCGCCACCATTTCAGCAAAAAATATATATATTTGTTCACCCCTGTTCTAATCAAAACATATCGAAAATCGGTTAAAATACACTACACTCCTGTGAATCCAAAAGATAAAAAAATAAAAGTATGATTTTGTCTTTTTGTTTTTGTGTTTTTTTTTGTTTCGCAAAACTTCCTAGGGAAAGTACCTAGTTTTTACTACAGTTACAATTAAGTTATTTATAGTAACGCTAATTATAACCAATGTGTATTTTTAGAATATCTGGTTTTCCAAATTTTCCAAGCCGCAGTGTATTCATCTCTGACCTGTCTTTATTTCGCTCTGCTTTTCTGTGTTATTGCACGCTTGCTTTTATTGTTTCCTGTTTAAATCGATACAATTAAGTGTCAAGTCTGCATATAGACCGGATTTTGTCACGATTAAAGGTAAAGACGTTTTATTTTTTATTTTATTCTTGACCTTTTACATAATTTAAGCGTATGACCTATTTTGTATAATTTACATTTTCATAATTATGATGCTGTTGGCGTGTGGTTGAAAACGAGTTAACTCGTAGCTGCATTGTTTTATTCATTTTTTTTCTATCTAAGATGTACAGATTTATTTTGTTATCTCATCGTTGCTAATCAAGCCTACTTGTGCCGCTCTTGGGCAATTTATATGTGTGTGAACTTTTCCAGGTGGTGTGTAACTATAATGTCATACATGTATGTGTCGTTAAAGCAGCACGCCTCCTGATTAATGCTTATTTTCATGAAAATTTTGAAAATGTAATTAAAAGCATAATATTGTATGTTAACCAAAAGGAGGCAATTTACACATTACAAATGGCACTTACAACCCACGTTAATTACAAAAAAAGGACAAAATATGCAAAAATTGCCCTAGAAATATAGTCACACATGATGAAAAATTCTAAAACGACCCGCATTTTTCCCTATTGAACATAGAAGAACCGAAAGTGTGTGTTATCACTGTTTGACGTTCTATATTTAGACATGTGAGGTAATCATTATACACGTGACGTAACCACTAAAATGTGACGCGCTGACAATAAGTACGCGCAATTAAGCTAATATAATGTACGGCAGCATTTATTTGTTGATGTAGTGTTAGAATCGAAATAATATATCCAAATCGGTGATTTTATTGTTTGATAACATCACTGTTCAAATTGTCGTTCGGATGCGCATCATTATATCACTCGGGCTACGCCCTCGTGATGTAATTCCCCGCATCCGAACTCCAAACAGTGATGTTATTGAGCAATAAAATCACAGTTTGGGATATATTTTTTCTTAAATAACCATTAATTGCCCATAGCATGTGAATTATTACTCGAATCTTGAATCTTAAATTTCTCCTTTTCCTAAACTCTGAGTACACTTTTCTCAAGTTTGAATTTATCTCATCTGGAGGCATGCTGCTTTAAGACATGTGTGTAGTGTAATGACATATGTGTTGTGTAACATGACATATATGTGTAGTGCAATGACATAGAAATAGTAAAGACATAGAAATTGTAATGACATATAAATAGTAATGTGTGCAGTTAAATGACATAAATGTCATATGAAACACGTGCGAACTGCCCTATGAAAATAAAAAAATACCGTAATCTTCTAAATCCAATTACATCTTTAAAAAAAAAACGCTTGGTGTGCATTATAAACATACATATGCTTTGCTTTAAATATGTTATATGATTCAATTTATTATTTACAAAAAAATATGTACAGTACAGTTACACTAATTATATATTACCGTCTATAGACTTGTCCCGACATAGTTACATTGCAACTGTTACAATTAAATAGGTCAAGAGCAGTGCTATTGTACTGTAAAATCAAAAGGCGATACAGGAATGTACATATTAAACCTATTTCAATTACATAAGAATTAGACTTGGAATTGTTCTTTTTTGTCTGTTTTATTTCTTTAAGCATTCCTTTGAAATGTTTTAGTGTCTTGTATATATGAACTGAGAGATGAAAATTGTAAACAGAACAGATATTTTATTAAGACTTGTACACATATACATATAAAAGTTAATAACCTGTCCTTTAACGGGTTCACACGGAGGTCAAACTTAGCGTTGTTACATACTTGAATCTGTTATTTCGCAAATTTATTATCGTTACGCCTACGTTTACAATCTATTTCTCATAGAATAGGAAAACTGGGATTTCATCAAAAAAAAAAAAAAAAAAAAAAAATCCCCTTGTTATCAATTTAGGTCAGTTGTCTCATAAATCCAAGCAAAAAAATGCAATTCAGACGTATATGTTTATACATCTTTTACAACATGCAACATACTGAAGTGTTGACTAATAATGTGTCGACTGAGGGCCGAGGCATTTTAACGTTTTATTGTTAGAGTACAAAAAAATAAATAAAATGAAATAAAATAAAATAAAATAAAATACAAAAATAAGAATAATAATGATTTGAAAAAAAGAGCGAAAGAAATAAGACAGCGTAGTTTTGTAATCGCTCAGAGTAGTAGTTTTTAATTTTGATTTTAGTAAAAAAGACGGGAGAAAAATGAAATATAAATAATGTTCGTGAAGTTGGCAGCCTAGCAGTATGCGATACTAAAATAAGACGTGGAATGGTCTAAGTATTTGCTACCGATTCATTTCCGACGATTTTCATGTTTGTACTATCCTGCTAGGCTGCTAACTTCACTAATTTCGAAGCGTCAGAATGAAAAAATTATGTTACGATAAAGTTCAACATCTTAAAAAATAAAGATCACGATATTGAAAAAGGCGTGGAATGATCTAAAGATGTGCTACTAATGTAATTCCGACGGTTTTCATGTTTGTACTATTCTTAGTTTTCTTTAGGCTGCTAGGCTGCCAGGCTGCCAGGCTGCTAGGCTGCCAACTTCAGGATGCTAGGCTGCTAAGCTGCTAGGCTGCCAACTTCACGAACATATATAAATAATGCTTTTTACATAAGTGTATTAAAATGCTGATAACATAAAGGTTATTTAAAAAAACCAATAGATATGTTAAAATACTGGTAACATTAGATTTTATTAAAATGCTGATAACATATAGGTTATTAAAAAACTTAATATTCTGATAACAATACATATGTTAAAAATACTGATAACATTAGATGTTATTAAATCTGATAACATATAGGTTATTAAAAAACTAAATATGCTGATAACAATAGATATTTTAAAAATACTGATAACATTAGATCTAGATGTTATTAAAATGCTGAAAACACAAGATATAATAAAAATGGCGATAACACGGGAGTTGAAAATTATATATAACAGCAATATGGTTTATTCTAACATCACCCGCATTTTTCACTTTTGAATATAGAAGAACCGAAAGTGTGTTATTATGCATACATACAGTCACAGTTGACGTTCTATATTTAAGTATGTGACGTAATCATTATACATGTGACGTATCTCTAAAAGAATCCGACGCGCTGAAAATAAGCACGGAAACAAATCAGGCGTAATTTTGCTTTAATATCAAATAAGGCAGCATTTATTTGTTGAAGTCGTGTTAGAATCGAAATAATATATCCAAAATCGGTTGATAATATCACTGTTTGTCGTTCGGATGCGCATCATTATATCACTCGGGCTACGCCCTCGTGATATAGATATAATTCGTCGCATCCGAACTGAATATGTTATTTCTTAAATAACGTTAAACTTGAGATAACATAAAGAATGCTGATGTAATGAGTGTTAATCAAATGTAAATGCTGATAACTTTAGGTTTTATAATACACGTACAAAATGCTGAAAAAAAGATATTGATAACACAGAACTAAAACTAATAAAAGTGTCAATAATACAATGTTTAATTAAATTTGTTTGTTTGATTGGGTTTTAACTTTTACGTCACACCGACACATTATATGTCATTTGGCGACGTTCCAGCTTTACTGGTGGAGGAAGACCTCAGGTGCCCTTCCGTGCATTTTTTCAGGTGAGTTCCACTGACGTTCCGTGAGCTAGCTGGATTGCTTCCTCACATGAAAGAATCCAAAGTTCTTGTCGGGATTCGAACCCACAGTGGTGAGGGGCAAGTGGTTTGGTCAACGACCTTAACCACTCGTCCACGAACGCTGATTACATTAGGGTCTAAGGTTGTGAAGAATTTTATTTGGCTCAAACTCAGAGCTCAGGCATTTGATCAATCAAGTTATTTGATTGGTCAGAAATTGCCACAGAATTTATACTGACCTGAATGAAAATCCTGATATTTGAGACAGAACTAAGGAAAAAGTTTTATAACCTTTGGGCTGACGGCTAAAATATATTCTCATACAAAAACAATTACATCTATTAATAATTGTACATCGTCTGTTATTATGTTTAGGGGAATACTTTTGTGTATGACTCATAATTACAACACTTATATATATTTGATCGTCATGTACATTTGTTACAGTCCATCTTGTATAATAACGAAGGCTGTAACGCGTGGTTTGAAGAAATTTTCAATTATTTTGTAACTTTAACGACTTTAAAAAATAATTAACCAGCAAACAGTTTATTAGAATGGCTACTGACATTAAAGGGACTCCACTGAGGTTTTTTGACATGATGGGACTGAAAATATTTTTTTCCAGATAAATGTACCATTTGATATAGGTTTAGACCACTAATCTTTGTACAAAATTTCAGATCATTCGTTTTTTCCAGAATAATTATTAAAATTGTAAAAAATGACCAAAAATGAAAAGCGATTTCCAATTTATTTCAAAGTATATTTCTTAACTATCTTTGCATATATTTCTGTTTCAAGTGCCCCAGCCCATTTATGTAAGAAATTCAAATGTCATGCTTTTTAGGCTTTTAAACCCGAGTGGAGTCCCTTTAAACACCCACAAGTCTATTACATAGTATTTGTCATACTGATATCACATGTTCCAGTTTCTATGCTATTACTTTATTACTTTACAAGATCTGCGCATTTAACAGTTGATGCAAATATTAATCTTGATCCTTAAAAAAAATCGTGCTTTGACCCGTTTTTTTTTTGTATTCTGTATTGCTTTTCATCATATATATCCAATAATAAGTTTGTTTCTTTGCAAATCTGTATTTTGTTACACTTTTCCCATGTATCATATCATTTTAGCCTTTTATAATATGAATGATGCTAGCTTTATAAAGCAATGAAAATGAAATAAGGATCATTCGATCATTCTTTTTGGTGAGGGTTTAAGTCGCACCAATATAATATAGGTCATATGGCGACTTTCCAGCTTTACTGGTGTCGGAAGACCTCATTATGTGCATTATTCCAGGCCCGTACTAGCCCCTGCATGAGTAGAGTAGAACCACCGAAAAAAAAAAACAACTGAAAAACTGAGGATATTTAACACTTGGCTGATCTTTACTTAAGTGTAATAATAGTGTTAAGTGTTTAATATTGCTGATATTAAAGCAAATGTCCGCTAAATAATACTTCCATATAAAAAAAATCTCGCTTTTTTCAGATGTTTAAAAGAGGTCATTTCACAGACAGGAATCTACAGATAGCATCTGAGGTACAGTAATTATTATATTTATCCGGTTTTTAAGAAAATACTAGTATATTCTTTTAAATATGTTTTATCTTATTTTTAGCTCGACTTTTTTTTTTTGAAAAAAAAAAAGTAGAGGTATTGTTATAGTCAGGTCGGCGTTGCCGTCTCCGTTGCCGTTGCCGTTGCCGTCCGAAAACTTGTACCTGGATCATAACTTTTTTATTTCTTGGTGTATTGTCTTCATACTTGGCCACAACAACCCTTGGGACAAGACCTTTCAGTAGACCACACTAACCTTGACCTTCATCCATAAATGACCTTGACCTTCAAGGTTAAAAGTCCAATTTTTGCTTGTTCATGCTGTTATTGGCTGTTACTTTGTTATTTTTGAATGGATTGTCTTCAAACTTGAACATAATAATCTTCAAGGATATCCCTTAAAAATAACCAGTCAGACCTTGACATTCACTCATCAATGACCTTGACTTTGAAGGTCAAATTATTGAAATTTTCATTTTTTTGGCTATTATTGGCTGTAACTTTGTTATTTTTGAATGGATTGTCTTCAAACTTGAACATAATAATCTTCAAAGATAACTGTTAAAAATATACCGAAAGACCTTGACATTCACTCATTAATGACATTGCCTTTGAAGGTCAAATTATTGAAATTTTCATTGTTTTGGCAGTAACTGACTGTAACTTTGCTATTTTGAAGGGATAAACTTCATATTATAACAGAACATTCTTAAGGACCAGACCTTGTTGTTTATCAAACCCAAATTTGCTTGGGCTCTTTAATGACCTTGACCTTGAAGGTTATATTACTGAATTTTCTCAGATTGTGCATTTATTGGTGTGTGTGTATGTATAGTATATGTATTATATATATATATATATATATATATATATAAATGTGTGTGTGTATATATATACATATATGCAGGTATATATATATATAAATATATATATATATATGCATGTATATATATATATATATACATATATATATATATATATACATATATAGATATATATATATATATATATCAAATATATATATATATATATATATATATATATATATATATATATATATATATATATATATATATATATATACATATATATACATGTATATAATTGCGTCATGTTTTTCTGTTTTTAGAAATTGCGTCATTTTTTCTATTTTTAGAAATTGCGTCATTGTTGCTATTTTTAGAATTTGCGTCATTTTTTTCTATTTTTAGAAATTGCGTCATTGTTGCTATTTTTAGAAATTGCGTCATTTTTTTCTATTTTTAGAAATTGCGTCATTTTTGTTCTATTTTTAGAAATTGCATCATTGTTTCTATTTTTAGAAATTGCGTCATTTTTTCTATTTTTAGAAATTGCGTCATGTTTTTCTATTTTTAGAAATTGCGTCATGTTTTTCTATTTTTAGAAATTGCGTCATTTTTTTCTATTTTTAGAAATTGCGTCATTTTTTCTATTTTTAGAAATTGCTTCATTTTTTTTCTATTTTTAGAAATTGTGTCATTTTATTTCTTTTTAGAAATTGCGTCATTGTTGCTATTTTTAGAATTTGCGTCATTTTTTTCTATTTTTAGAAATTGCGTCGTTGTTGCTATTTTTAGAAATATGCTTAATGTTTCTATTCATATATATACAAAATATATAAACAAAACTAATGTGACAAGACAGACCAACTAAATTTATAAAAAGGAAACATCAATATATGTTCAAACCTTTCTATGTTTGCGTTTAGAAAAAGTAAAAAGACGAGCGTTGCCCCCGCCCGGCGGTGGCTCTTGTTATGTAGAGCTGTGCTTAAAGGTCCATTTTGCCTCAGAAATGCTTCTTATTCCACAAAATATTTTTATATTGGCGTACTTACATAGTTTCCAAAAAGATACCCATTGTCCAATTATCTTAACCATCTTTTTTATCTATTGCTTTTTGGCAACTATTGACACAGTAATTGTGATTTAATATTTTGTATGGAATTCAAAATACTACTTTGTTTACATTTTGTTTCGTGTCACATTTATCTTTAATTTCTTTAGGTTAGTAGCCTCTTACATGCCCTAAAACCGTTATTTAAAATGTTATTAAATTTATATTTGCCCTTTCTAAAGAAGTAAACAAGTTTCTGTGGCATAATGTGTCTTAAAAAAACGTATTTCTCTTTTACAGAAACCTGAAAACTTCAAAGACATTGGTAGTAGATATGAGTCCACAGACAAGACAAAAAATGCAGAAAATGAGTTTTTACAAACTTTTGAGGTAGGTTTTTCCTTTTTAAAACATCTGCTTTTTTAAAAAAATGGAAAGTTTATATGTAACATTTCTCTAATTTGGTGGTATAAGAAATAGTTCTACATTTTGAAAACCCACTGAAACTGATAATACTTCCCTTTTATTACATTTGTGCAGTCTTGCGTAATGCGTCGTCCATCGAAAACTACAATGCAAAGTGTTCATATTTGAGTCGCGTCACGACAAAACCAACATAATGCGTTTGCGACAAGCA